TGCAGGGTTGCATCTGTGGTGCACAGCGTCATGCCCTACTCACTGGTTGCCAGGAGCTGGTTGGGACGCCAGCCAGAGTGCCCCGCTCAGCATTTGGCAACCAGTAACGTCAGTGAGCTAGGTGAGACGCCGTCCAAAGCGTCACAGGTGGCCAAGAACTCCTGCAACTGACCCAATGAGATTCTACCTGATGCAAGCGCCTCAGGTCGCCTCATTATAGGGACAACCCTGCCCCCTTAAAGTGGTGGTCAGTGGGAAGAAATCCCTCCTTATAGTGGTGGTCAGTGGGAAGAAATCCCTCCTTATAGTGGTGGTCAGTGGGAAGAACGTGCCCTTACAGCGCTGGTAAGTGTAAATAATGCCCCTCCCCCCATACGTTGGTGGTCATTTGGAAGAAAGACCCCCTAAAAGTGGTGGCAGTTGTGATCAGTGGGAAGAATGTCCCCCCATAATGTGGGGATCAGATTAAGAGGATGGACCCCTGAAAGCTTGGATCAGATGAGAAGGGCAGACCCCAAAAGCTTGTCCTATAATATGCTTGGATCAGATGAGGAGGGTAAACCCCCAAAGGCTTGTCCTATAATATGCTTGGATCAGATGAGGAGGGTAAACCCCCAAAGGCTTGTCCTATAATATGCTTGGATCAGATGAAGAGGGTAGACCCCCAAAGGCTAGTCCCTTAATATACTTGGGTCAGATGAGGAGGGTAGACCCCCGAAGGCTAGTCCCTTAATATACTTGGATCAGATGAGGAGGGTAAACCCCCAAAGGCTTGTCCCTTAATATACTTGGATCAGATGAGGAGGGTAGACCCCCAAAGGCTTGTCCTGTAATATACTTGGATCAGATGAGGAGGGTAGACCCCCAAAGGCTTGTCCCTTAATATACTTGGATCAGATGAGGAGGGTAGACCCCCAAAGGCTTGTCCCTTAATATACTTGGATCAGATGAGGAGGGTAGACCCCCAAAGGCTTGTGCCTTAATATGCTTGGATCAGATGAGGAGGGTAGACCCCCAAAGGCTTGCCCCTTAATATGCTTGGATCAAATGAGGAGGGTAGACCCCCAAAGGCTTGCCCCTTAATATGCTTGGATCAGATGAAGAGGGTAGACCCCCATAAACCTGTCCTATAATATGATCACATGCAGCGCTGAACTGTTATCAGTCCAATCATTGAGGAGTAAATGGCAATCACAATCCAGTCTAGATATCTGCTATTGATCAGATGACCGGAAATAATCATCAATTGTTCTAAAACTGGAAAATATAAATGATTTTTTTCTGTTGTATTGTTTGATGATCATTCGGAACCTCTGCCTAACATTCAGAACAATTGGCACCCGTACAGACAACCTAACTTGCTATAAGAGGTTGTGTGACTGCACGCAATGGGAATAATTGGGCCGTCGGGGTGATCCTACGATCTCGTACGTGCACTCACCTCGGGACTGCAGGAAAATATCTAACATGCAACACACAAGTCAGCGAGATTGTGAACGTGTGTGGTCAGATTCCGGCTCGGAGTGACACTACAATGCAAGATCAGCCGTGCACAAGTTCAGACGCGTCCTGAGCCGCTCTGTAAACTCTATCCAGGTGTCAGAGAGTCCTCCGCAGACCCGAGACGTCTGTCAGTCCATCACAGGACGTTCTACAATGCGCACAAATAAAGCAAACATTCGACTTACCGACGACCTGGATGATGTCGGCCAGCAGCACCCCGTCCGTCACATCCTGCTGGAGGTCTTTAATCAGACGCTTGTGGCCGGATTTGGCCAGGTAGTGGTTGGCCCAGTCTGTGTAAATCTGAAAACACAAAATAAAAAGAACTTGAGTACGAGGAAAGTGGCCGTCCCCTCTCATTATTAGGACAGAACCCAGGGGAGAGATTTAACAAAGCGTCAGGCCCATTAACATTCAGGACGTGTTACAAATCTCCAGTGCTGCTCCAATAGCCGCGGCGTTCCCCTATTGAGCCGCGTGACATCACAGCTTAGCGCGAGGCACAGAGAATGGCACTGAATGGGCAGCCGGGCCGGTCGAGGGGGCGACGGCTTCAGCCGCACCAATTTTACCTCCATCCCGGCCTGCTCATTCACTTTCA